GTGCCTGTTATTCTACAAACTAATAACGTCAAACGTATTGAAAAGAAACCCTTTAATGAAGTTATCAGTTTTTGTAAAGCGGTTCAAAACAATCTGCAGCAGTTAAAAGTGCAAACCCTCAATTCTCAGGATAAAATATGGTGAGAGGAATTTTATGCTGTTCGCCATTGGTTAAAAACTCGTATCATTCCTAGAGCAAGAAGTAAATATAAATCAGTATAAAGTTAACCTGTGTTACACAGCTTTTAGTGCTTCAGGGCAAGTAAACTTTAGTCATTTCTTTGTAGATGCCTATGTCCAGTTACAAAAAGGAATTCACACTAAAAATATACTTTTTAATTACAAGTTTTCCTCATGGTTGTAAAAGATTACTCCCCCCCGTCACCCTGGCCCCACATACACATACAAACACATTCACAATTTACAATTTACAATTTACAATTTACAATTTACAATTTACAATTTACAATTTAAAATTTACAATTTAATAATAAGTTTATTCAATATTAAAATAATGTCACGCCAATATACACTTAAGCATTCACAATTTACAATTTACAATTTACAATTTACAATTTACAATTTACAATTTACAATTTACAATTTACAATTTACAATTTACAATTTACAATTTACAATTTACAATTTACAATTTACAATTTACAATTTACAATTTACAATTTACAATTTACAATTTACAATTTACAATTTACAATTTACAATTTACAATTTACAATTTACAATTTACAATTTACAATTTACAATTTACAATTTACAATTTACAATTTACAATTTACAATTTACAATTTACAATTTACAATTTACAATTTACAATTTACAATTTACAATTTACAATTTACAATTTACAATTTACAATTTACAATTTACAATTTACAATTTACAATTTACAATTTACAATTTACAATTTACAATTTACAATTTACAATTTACAATTTACAATTTACAATTTACAATTTACAATTTACAATTTACAATTTACAATNTGAATGAGCTACATATTATTATATTGTCACTCACCCTACCTGAAAAAAGATATAACTCATCACTTACAATCGCGACAAACCATTAAAGAAAAATTTTAAAGTGCTACCCTTTCTCTGGATGAGCGCTCCATATTAGAATCCAGATATTCTGAAGTATTTTTTTTTTTAAACATAAAATTTTCATTCATTAATTTTAATTACGTTAAATTAAAGCTAAACGGGATGTACGGCTTTAGTGAATCACTAAAGGTTCTTCAAAGTTCCAAGAGCTCATCAGTGTCTGGTTGTTCTATCACATGTTTCTGTTCACTCTACCTTAACATGGGGTTTATTATTTTTACATACACCCTCAAGATCTAATTTCTACTCTGTTCAACCCAAATCTTCACTCCACTCCTATTTTACTCAAATTGGGCAAGAAACTTCCAACGTATCAATGCATACTATTTGTACAATCATTAAAAAACTTATTATGCAAGGACAAAATTTTGATAAAAATAACCCAGCCATTATTCTTTGTGATCAACGATTAGAAAACATATTTGGTATGAAAGCTTTACACGTGTCACAAGTTCAGAATACTTTAGCTAAATCTTTGATTGCCATCAATAAAATAGATATAGAATCTTCAATTCAACCCACTAAAATTAAAAAATCAAATAATAGATATAGATTATCAGATCATTTACGAGAGCTCTTCATTGCCTCAGGAATTATGAACCCCAACAAACAAATCTTTACCTATCAAGAAACAGCAAATTATTTTTCTGCGTATATTATTGCCAACAAAGATTGTATCCTAGATTCTCGTAACATAAGTGTTGCCAATGATCCTCTGGCTAAAATTTTTAAAGTTAAAGCGTTTCATCGAAATGAAGTTTATCAATTTTTAAAACCACATTTATTTCCTTGTGATGTAAAACCACTGAAAAAAAGAATGTTAAGAATACAAATTGTAATAAATATTTTTTCAATAGTTTATTAATATCATATAGAGTTAGATTCATTGTTTAGCATATAAAAAACATACAAAAATATTAGTTGGTATGATGCTCAGATAATAGGGGTTTTGTTCAAACAAAAAAGATATCTCCAAAAAAGGAATCTGTTAATCCACCAAATTGACTTTCAACACTTACTCAAAAAAAGTTATCTATTCATATGCAGCAAATTCAAAAATGTATTGATTTAATTGAAGAAAAAACATACAAAAATATTAGTTGGTATAATGATGATTAGTCAACTATCTATCATTATGGTAAACTCCACCTCGCATGAGTCATCGTATGACAGGTCGTCTTTGGCGTCAGGCGGATTTCATCAACTTTTTTTTTACTTATGATCGATAGATAGTCAACAAATCAACAGGTCAAGAATACATTCTAAATCTCCTTAATTTACACTAACATCAACATGCATTTTCAATATTCATTAATTTCGTACATTTTTTCATTCTCTATTGAACATTTTAAGATTTGAGATATATCTTCCAAATTATGGGGACTCTCATCTTTTAGAAGCGATAAGCTTATTATTGGAATTCTAGCCGATTCAATCAGGATACGGAATTTAGTAATATTATTGTTTATAATTGAAGGTTATCTTTTTGAAAAAGCAACTCAAAAGCAAATTTATTTTGTTGATGCTCTCAATATCAAATATCAAGTGTCCGTCTGCAGCTTTTATCTTTTGAAAAAGTATAAACTCAAAAGCAAGTTTATGTTGTTGGTGTAACTAATTGTTCAATTTGCCAGTTGGTACTTCCCACTAAGAAAACAAAAGCAACTGAAATGGTTTTTATTTGAGCTGATTATGTAATTGATAAAGAATTGGAAATCTTCAGTTGGAAGTTGGAACAAGAGAATAGTAAAATAGGAAGACGACTTTTAAACTTCAGTTAAGATATTTAAGAGTTGAAATTAATCATCATGACACACAGCATTTGTGTAGTTTATTAAAGACCCAGTTCCTGACTTAATTTTCAAGCTACAGGCTAAACTATTTCTTAATAATAATAATGATGATAGTAATAATTACTGTTGTAAATCAGACATGGCCCTTTTTAAATGGTCATTTGAAACTCCAATTACACTTATTTTAGGCAGATAGACAACATTATTAACAACTTTTTATTCATAAATACTTTAAAACATTATCATCAAAATTAAATATATCCCAGTACCAACTTTTTAAAAGCATCCGACTATATAATCGAAAATTATTAAATAATTAGGACAGAATAGAATAATCAGATTCTCCAACCTTATCCTAATCAGTTTTAAAATAAACAAATTATAGCGCGGGCAACGCCGGGTAGGTTAGCTAGGTATAAATGTAAATGTGATGACGACCAGAAACCTAATGAATTTGATCAATTTGGCCTTTAAATGGACTGTTAACGTAATTTCAAGTGATTCTTCATTTTTACAGAAATAACCAGAAAACTCTGTAATAGGAAGACGACTTTAAGAATCCAGTTATAACTTTAAAAAGTCTAATGAGCTCGAGACACAGCAATTAAGCAGTGTATACAGCCCCATTTCACTAAATAAATGATTTAATAAAATATTTTCTGTGTAACAGCATCAAATACGTATTACTTCGTCTTCTCATTCCATTGTTTTCTGGTTACCACTGTACAACGGTAACGTAAATTCAAGCGGTTCTTCATTTTAGAGCGACATGCAACAACGGTTCCCTTCAAATTTAACCAAGAATGAATGAGCTACCCATGTTTCTCTTTGTGAAACAACTCCTTTATTTTAAACTTCACTCCCTATGAAATTGACTTGCTGACTTCTGCTAACAAAAACACTGGAGCTGATTTTCAGATAAAAACTCTTTTTAAGTTACACTATGGATCAGATAAAGATTTAAATGGTACCCTTCTGAATCGGGCATGCACATAAGGACATCAATTAGAACGACATTAACTTTAGGTACCTATAAGGTTAGATACTCTGGATGCGCTCCAATGTATGTAAATGTCGTCTTTTTTGCAATGGACATTCTAAATCCTCATATGACGTCACTGATACTTGACTTGACAATCATCACATATAACAATTATTGATTGTGCTAACTAGTTTGAAGCTAAACAATACAATTCTAGTTCAAGTTTTCAATTTTTGAGTTCGTTTATGTTTAGTGAGTCGCAAAATGTATTATTCTTTAAGATAATCATGAGGTACGTCATATATGTGTCTATTGCTATAAAGGTCGTCTTTACATACATTGGAGTGCATCCACATTCCACATCTAACCTTATCATACAACCTTGAATAAAATAGGCGGATCGTCCATTTAACGCATCATGTATTTTTATGTCAATTAAAATGAAATTAAAAATAACCTGCAGCAGGGAGAGGATACTGGGAACAAACTTCCCTGAAGCATGCAGCATACTTCCGGTAGCATGCTGGAACAGAATTTATTATCATTGTCGTAGTCGTAGTCGTAGTCGTAGTCGTTGTCGTTGTCATTGTAGTTGTCTTTGTCGTTGTCGTTGTCGTTGTTGTTGTCGTTGTCGTTGTCGTTGTTGTAGTCGTAGTCATTGTCGTTGTTGTTGTCGTAGTCGTAGTCGTTGTCGTTGTCGTTGTCGTTGTTGTTGTTGTTGTCATTGTCGTTTTCGTTGTCGTTGTCGTAGTCGTTGTCGTTGTTGTTGTTGTAGTCGTAGTCGTTGTCCTTGTCGTTGTCGTTGTCGTTGTCGTTGTCTTTGTAATTATCGTTATCGTTATCATTAATAAACCTGGAAAAGTATGAGTGCTGCAAGATGAAGAATTAAGGCTGGGTCTGAGCACGCCCTAGAAAGAATTTAATTCAGATTATTGTATTAAATATAGTTCCATCTTTATTTATGTAAAGGAACTGATTGCTTGCCTAAAATCCTAATTTTCTAATTTAATTCAGATTATTGTATTAAATATAGTTCCATCTTTATTTATGTAAAGGAACTGATTGCTTGCCTAAAATCCTAATTTTCTAATTTAATTCAGATTATTGTATTAACTATAGTTCCATCTTTATTTATGTAAAGGAACTGATTGCTTGCCTAAAATCCTAATTTTCTAATTTAATTCAGATTATTGTATTAACTATAGTTCCATCTTTATTTATGTANGTTGTAGTTGTAGTTGTAGTTGTAGTTGTAGTTGTAGTTGTAGTTGTAGTTGTAGTTGTAGTTGTAGTTGTAGTTGTAGTTGTCAGTGTCATTAATAAACCTGGAAAAGTATGAGTGCTGCAAGATGAAGAGTTAAGGCTGGGTCTGAGCACGCCCTAGAAAGAATTCAGATTATTGTATTAACTATAGTTCCATCTTTATTTATGTAAAGGAACTGATTGCTTGCCTAAAACCTTAATTTTCTAGTTTAATTCAGATTATTGTATTAACTATAGTTCCATCTTTATTTATGTAAAGGAACTGATTGCTTGCCTAAAACCTTAATTTTCTAATTTAATTCAGATTATTGTATTAACTATAGTTCCATCTTTATTTATGTAAAGGAACTGATTGCTTGCCTAAAATCCTAATTTTCTAATTTAATTCAGATTATTGTATTAAATATAGTTCCTAACCTGTTTCTCTTTAAGCTGTTGTATAACAAGGGTCTGATGATAGGACAGAATAGAATAATCAGATTCTCCAACCTTATCCTAATCAGTTTTAAAATAAACAAATTATAGCGCGGGCAACGCCGGGTAGGTTAGCTAGGTNGATTAGATAGACAAAGTTTATGATATGAATTCTGCTAGATTAGATAGACAAAGTTTATGATATGAATTCTGCTAGATTAGATAGACAAAGTTTATGATATGAATTTTGGGATAGAGCATTGATCTCCATCTTATACCGACTTATGTGTTAATCTAATTCAATATTCGATATCCTTGCAATGATATCTGAAAAATAAAGGAATCTGGGTTCAAGCAGTGATATTGAAGTTTAAAAATACGACCATTGATTATCGAGATCAAGCATTAAAGTTAAACAATATCCAAAAACAAGTTCCTATCTCAGATTGCTAAAATAAAGGGATTAGAAAAAAAACCCTAAAGTTATCAGTTCCTATACCAATTTTATATACATTTTTTTCCCCAAATAAAATCGATCAGAAAGTTTTCTGGGTCTTTTTCATAAACAAGATCTAATACTAAACCAAGAGGAAACCAACCCAAGTTCATCCAAGAGCTGATGTCTGTGACTGAACAAGATATAATACTAAACTAAGAGGAAACCTACCCTAGTTGATCCAAGAGCTGATGTCTGTAACTAAACAAGATCTAATACTAAACTAAGAGGAAACCTACCCTAGTTGATCCAAGAGCTGATGTCTGTGACTGAACAAGATCTAATACTAAACCAAGAGGAAACCAACCCTAGTTGATCCAAGAGCTGATGCCTATTACTGAACAAGATCTAATACTAAACCAAGAGGAAACCTACCCTAGTTGATCCAAGAGCCGATGTCTGTGACTGAACAAGATCTAGTAATAAACCAAGAGGAAACCAACCCTAGTTAATCCAAGAGCTGATGCCTATGACTGAACAAGATCTAATTCTAAAACAAGAGGAAACCTACCCTAGTTGATCCAAGAGCTGATGTCTGTGACTGAACAAGATCTAATAATAAACCTAGAGGAAACCTACCCTAGTTGATCCAAGAGCTGATGTCTGTGACTTAACAAGATCTAATAATAAACTAAGAGGAAACCAATCCAAGTTGATCCAAGGGCTAATGTCTGTGACTGAACAAGATCTAATACTAAACCAAGAGGAAACCTACCCTTTTAGTTGATCCAAGAGCTGATGTCTGTAACTGAAAACGATCTAATACTAAATAAAACAAGAGAATACCTACAACCCAAGATGATCTAAGAGCTGATGTCTGTGACTGAACAAAATCTATACTAAACCAAGAGGAAACCTACCCTAGTTGATCCAAGAGCTGATGTCTGTGACTGAACAAGATCTAATACTAAACCAAGAGGAAACCTACCCTAGTTGATCCAAGAGCTGATGCCTATGGCTGAACAAGATCTGTCGATCCTTCTTTTTATCAACCTTCTTCAGCATTACATCACACACATTCATCAGCTCATTCTAAATATTCATACATTGAATTAATCAAATTTCAAACAAAAACATTTTGAAATTAGTGCACTACATTTGTTTTATGGGGTTGGAACTAAAAAATGTTCAAATGCACCTCAAACTAAAGTAAATTGCACGTAAGATTGAAATCTTTGTTTTAAATCATAAATAGCTACATCAATTCTAGTGCTAGTGTTAATAACTATATGAATACTCAAGTACTAGTATTAGAAATAAAAGAACTCCATACAGTGCTAATATTAGGAACTATACTAATATATTTACTGATAATATTACAAGCAAAATAACTGTACCTAACAGCAGTTATGAACTAAGCTATTACCTCTACCGGCAGAATTATGAACTAAGCTATTACCTCTACCGGCAGAATTATGAACTAAGCTATTTTCTCTACTGACAGAATTATGAACTAAGCTATTACCTCTTAAGACAGCATTATGAACTAAGCTATTACCTCTACCGGCAGAATCAAGAACTAAGCTATTACCTCCACCGGCAGACTCATAAACTAAGCTATTACCTCTACCGGCGGAATTATAAACTAAGCTTTTACCTCAACCGGCAGAATTATGAACTAGGCTATTACCTCTACTGGCAGAATTATAAACTAAGCTAGAATGCTTTAACGGCGGTAGAATTATGAACTTAGTTATTTCCTCTACCGACAGAATTATGAACTAAGCTATTATCTCTACTGGCAGAATTATAAACTAAGCTATTTTTCTTTACCGGCGGCAGAATTATGAACTAAGCTTTTACCTCGATTGGCAGAATTATGAAGCTATTACCTCTACCGGCGGAATTATGAACTAGGCTATTACCTCTAGGGTGTGAATAAACTCCTCAGCAGAACTCGCCAGCAGAGTTTTATGCAGTTTCATTGCAGGCTCAGCA